TGTTAATTACTAATTTTCCTCCATGACACTAAAAGTAGGTATAACAGGTGGCATGGGCAGTGGCAAAAGCACGGCAGCAGCCGTATTTGCCAGTATGGGCATACCTGTTTACCAGGCAGATGATGCTGCCAAAAGATTGATGAATGAAGATGCTGCCCTTGTAGCAGCGTTGAAAACAACATTTGGCGAAGCTGCTTATACCAACGGCATGCTGAACCGCAGCTACCTGGCTGCAGCAGTTTTTAACAACCCGGAAAAACTGAACCTGCTGAATTCAATTGTCCATCCTGCCACCATTGCAGATGGAGAAAACTGGATGGCGCAGCAGACCACCGCTTATGCCATTAAAGAAGCGGCTATTATTTTTGAAAGCGGTTCACAACGCTACCTCGACTATATTATTGGCGTATATGCGCCCGCTACTTTGCGCATTCACCGCAGCATGAAAAGAGACGGGCTAAGTAAAGAAGAAGTAAATGCCCGTATGGACCGGCAAATGGATGATGCCATTAAAATGAAGCTCTGCGATGCCGTTATTGTGAATGATGATCAGCAGGCGCTTATTCCGCAGGTCATGAAAATACATGCAAAACTTTTATTGCTTGCCACAGAAAGACAAAACAACTGAGCCACTTTATTCCCCCGGCTTCTTTCGACTGGTAAATTACCTATAGGCCTTATTATACGCCAGACTGGTAATAAGTCTTTACCCAATGTTTAATCATTGATTCAATTACTACCGCAAAGTGGTATTGTTTGCGCTTGTAATTACCGTCAACTTTGCTGTGTCCTGCAAAGAATTAACCATTACCTATTCTATCACTTAAAAAATTCAACGCTATGCCTAGTTTACAATGGGAGTCGCTTGGCGGAATCATTACTTCAAATATCTCTTCTGTTTGCTGGTCGGCCAACAGGATTGATTCATTTGCCCGTGGCACAGACAATGCACTTTATCACCGCTGGTGGAACGGCAGTGCCTGGGGAGGATGGGAATCGCTGGGTGGCATCATTACCAGCGACCCGGTAGCCGTTAGCTGGGGGCCGAACAGAATTGACATATTTGCAAAAGGAACAGACGGCGCTGTTTGGCACCGATGGTGGAATGGCAGCAGCTGGGGCGGATGGGAATCGCTGGGAGGCATTATAACCAGCAATATCAGTGCAGTTTGCTGGGGCAGCAACCGCATCGATCTTTTTGCCCGTGGTACAGACAATGCACTCTATCACCGCTGGTGGAACGGCAGTGCCTGGGGCGGATGGGAATCACTGGGGGGTATTATCACCAGCGATCCGGAAGCCGTAAGCTGGGGCAGCAACCGTCTGGACATATTTGCTAAAGGAACTGACGGCGCCGTTTGGCATCGCTGGTGGAATGGCAGCAGCTGGGGCGGATGGGAATCACTCGGCGGCATTATAACCAGCAATATCAGCGCCACCTGCTGGGGCACCAACCGCATCGATCTTTTTGCCCGTGGTACAGACAACGCATTGTACCACCGTTGGTGGAATGGCAGCAGCTGGGGCGGATGGGAATCACTCGGCGGCATCATCACCAGCGATCCCAAAGTAGTGAAATGGGGTCCCAACCGCCTGGACATATTTGCCAAAGGAACTGACGGTGCCGTATGGCATCGCTGGTGGAATGGAAGTGCCTGGGGCGGATGGGAATCACTCGGCGGCATCATTACTACTAATATTTCTGCTGTTTCATGGGCATCTAACCGTCTTGATTTGTTTGTTGGTGGAACCAATCACGCCATGTTCCATAAATACTGGGATGGCAGCCGCTGGGGTCCTGGCATCGGCCTCAACCTGCATATCAAAATACTTACTGCACCAACCCGTTTCACCATTAACCAGATGGTAGATGCCATGCGCGATGTATATGCTACTGCAGGCATCTTCGTAAACTGGGCTTCTACAGAAAATCTGAATCCAGCCAGCCCCGCACTCTCCGCACTCAACGATATAGACACCGGCACCTGCACCGGCGGCAACCCTTCTGCAGAACAAATAGCTATTTCCAATTTCCGCAACAATGCAGGAAACCTGGATGTTGTAGTGTATGTATGCAGGTCTGTTTCATTTAATGGCGGTTCGCTGAACGGTTGCGCCTCCTTCCCTGCCAACCGGCCCATGGCTGTAATAGCGTCTTACTGCTCAAGGTACACGCTGGGGCATGAAGTTGGACATGTACTGGGCCTGGGACATGTAAGCGACAACAACCGGCTGATGACCGGCCTGGGTACAGACAATATCACCAATCCGCCGCCCGATCTGATACAGGCCGAGATCAATACAATGATAGCAAGTCCTTTTACTAACTAATTAAATGTATGTTATGCCACACAGTAAAGACGAACTTATAAAAATGATTAACCTCGACGAGCCGGATTATACCTCCATTGTTGCCAGACTTACCAAAGAAGACATACCGCTTTTGAACGAGCTGGCACAGGATGAAAATCCCGCTATTGCCACCAAAGCCATCAGCTGCCTTGGATACCTGAACGATGACCGCGCTGCTGCGGGCGTAGAGAAAGCCAGCAAAAGCAGCAACCCCATATTGAGGGTGGCGGCCACGCATGCCATCAGGAATATGAGCAACCGGCAGGCGGCTGAAAAAATGCTCGACAATCTCCTTGACGACGATGATATAGGGGTGAAAAAATTTACCCTCAAAACAATTGAGGCGTCCAGGTTCAGCAACCTCAAACAGAAAGTGCAGCAGATGCATCTGAAAGAAAACAATGAGGCCATAAAATCACTCTCAAAACAGGTAATGGAAAAGCTTTAAAAAAGCTTATCATCAAATAAAAAGAGGCTGTCTCAAAAATATGAGACAGCCTCTTTTTATTCATTCCCTTACTGGCAGAATTTTTAGTTTATTCAATTCTCAAGGCCTTCCATTTTCTTTTGAGACAGCCTCTTCCTTTTTTTCTTCCAACGGCAAAATTACCGTGCTCAGGCAACTGTAATCAGCACCGCAACATAATGACAAATAGCGGCTGCCAGTACAAACAAATGCCACACAGCGTGGTGCCAAATCCATTTTTGCCACAGGTAAAACACTACTCCCAGGCTATACAGGCCGCCTCCAATAACAATCAGCGCTATAACTGCATTGGGC